GCTGTACAAGCCCCCAATAAATTGATTTAAAAAAAAAAAAAAAGAATAAACAGCCCTATCTGGAGCACAGTTCCACTCTGAGACACAGGGGGCAGTCAGGAGCCAGGGTCAACTCAACAGCAAATTTTTATTTAAGGTACTTTCTTTGATTATCCCACTTCCATAATTTTGGAACTATTTATTGCATACCAACTTTGTTTCTAAGGAGCCCTGGCGGTGTAGTGGGTAATAAATTGGACGGCTAACGTCAACGTCATCAGTTCAAAACTACTAGCCGCTCCTTGGGAGAAAGATGAGGCTTTCTGCTCCCATGAAGATTGACAACCCACAGGGGCAGTTCTACTCTGTCCTCTAGTGGCGCGGCGAGTAGGCATTGACTCAATAGCAGTGAGTTTGGTTGGGTTTTTAAGTTTAGTGTTAGTTTTTTGGTTAGGAGCCCTGGTGCTGGAATCATTATGCTTTTGGCTGCCAATCACAACGTAAACAGATCAAAACCACCAGCCACTCCTTGGGAGGAAAAAAAAAAACAATGGGGCTTTCCATTCCTGTAAAGCAGTGGTTCTCAACCTTCTTAATGCCGCGATTCTTTAACACAGTTCCTCATGTTGTGGTGACCCCCAACCACAACATTATTTTCGTTGCTACTTCATAACGGTAATTTTGCTACTGTTATGAATCGGGTGACCCCTGTGAAAAGGTTGTTCGACCCCCAGAGGGGTCACGACCCACAGTTTTGAGAACCACTGCTGTAAAAAGCGACAATCTCAGAAATTCACAAGGGGAAGTTTTACCTGGTCCTATAGGGGCACTATGAGTCCCATCAGCTCAATGGCAATGAGTTTAGAGTTTGGAGTTTGGGTTTCAGTGCTAAGAGAGAGCAGGGAAGGGGGGGGGTTCCAGGTGCCTGCCCTCCACGAGTTCATGTTCCAGTCTGGAAAGATGTACAGTCAGCCCACAGCCTTTTACAAAAAGTATCAAAATGACCAACGCGGAGTTAAGTGCTGGGAGCAGAGCCCACCAGGAAGGGGGACAGGGAGCCAGGGGCTCTGGCACTGGCAGGATGGGAGGAGGGGCTACTTCTTCCGCTCCTTGTCCTTCTTCAGGTTGCTAGCCGGCTGGGCCTGCTGGGCTTGCTGGGCTTCAAAGTCTGCTTTCATCTTGTAGAACGCGATGATTTCTTCTTCCAGCTGTCTTCTCTCTTCCTCCAGCTTCTTTGTCTTCTCTTGCTGGATTCGCTTAAGGTGCTGAAATTCATCCTGCAGCTGGGACACAAATACAGGTCGTCCCTGGTTACCAACAGCCAGACTGAGGCACAAGGTCGCCACCAACCGGCCACGGTACAGCCAATTGTATGACAAGCTCAAGCCACACCCTCCACCGCGTGGGTTCTCAACCCAGCTCAACTCACTGCCCTACGGGCCGATGCCAACTCCTGCGACCCCATGGGACAGGGTAGAACTGCTCTTGTAGGTTTCCAAGACTTTAACTGTTTATGGGAGTGGCTGGTGGTTTGGAACTTTGGACCTTTCGGATTGCAGCCCAACACATGACCGTTACGCCATCCTAGTAACACCCATCAAAACATGATGATTATTGCATAATTGCTAAAGACGGTTTCTTGCACCTGGGATCTCCCCACACAGTTTTTGAGGCCCCGTCATACTAGGCAGACATTTGACAGAATGTTAGACGTTAGACAGAAACCATAGCTCACTGCTCTGACTGACGTCCCAATCAGACCTGGACAGGAACTGATTCATCATCCAGGACCTCCTGTCTGAGGTTGTGACTAATGGCACAGGGCGGTGTCACATCCCTAGGTATATATCTGTCATTTCTCCCCAGTTATCAGTCAGACGCAAGCCTCAACAGCACAGCTCGGTGGTAGCACCATCTTAAAGGTTCCTGAGCCGTTCAGCTACAGAATCCCCAAGTGATTGGATTTCTAAATGAGTTCCCAGGCAAAAAATGCTTGAATCAAACATAGCTACTCAGAGCACAATCTGAAAACTATTTGATGAGCAGGGAGAATGGGGTGAGCCACGGGGAGGTTTGATGAGCTGTCGAAGTTGTTGAATGCAAAAATGATGATCTGATATGCAAGCCCCTATCTAATTCACAATACTTTTTTTTAATGCACAGCTTTTTAAAATTTATTTTTTTAAATGGAATCGTATGGTATAAGAATTACTCACTCACTGTCCCAGAGCTCATTTCGACTCACACCAACCCTGCGGGACAGGGTGCAACTGCTCTTGTGGGTTCACTAGACTTTCGTTCCACAGGCACAGAGAGCCTCCCTGTTCTCCCGAGAGGACAAAAATTGAACTGTTTTAAAACTGAAACTGGAGTGCTTGCTTCGGCAACACATACTGAAACTGGAACAATACAGAGAAGATTAGCACAGCCCCTGTGCAAGGATGATGCGCAAATCCGTGAAGAGTCCCATATTTTAAATAATAATAGTAAAATAAAACTAGGAAAAAGAAGATTTTTTTAAAGTACTAAATAAACCTATGTAATGCAAGAGGGGCAGCGAGAAAAGGAAAGCCCTGGGCCAGGTGGATGGACACAGGGGCTGTAACCTTGGCCTCAACTGTGAGAACAATGGTGAGGATGTGGCCCAGGACCGGGCAGTGTTTTGTCCTGGGGTGCCCGGGGTCATTCTGACTCAGAACCCACTCAACAACACCTGATGATTAGCAGCAACAACAAGATACGTTCAGCACAGGGTAAAAATACTAATTATTGTGAACTTCATCCAAAGGGTTAGGAGCATCGTGGTAATCTATTAATTTAGTGTCATGGTTTTAAATGGCTATCTAGTCTTTTGTGAGGATGCCTGGTGGCGTCCTGGTTGATGCGTTGGACCGGCTAGCCACAGGGTCTTCAGTTGGAAACCACCAGCTGCCCCCCGGGAACGTCACACCTGCGGGAGCTGTGCCTTCCTGTCGTAATGTCCTGCCATCGGTGCTGTGCTGTGGCTGGGTGCCCATCGGGCAGTGCTGACTCGTGGCACCTCCCTGTGCTTCCTAGCTGTCATCTTCACAGAGCAAAGAGCCAGGTCTTTCCCCTGCCTCAAAAAACAAAACAACAACCGTGCTGCCATCGAGTACAGTCTGTGACTCACAGAGACCCTCTAAGACGAAGTAGAACTGCCCCTGGGGTTTCCGAGACCATAACTCTTTTGTTTCAATTTTTTTGGTTTTTGACTATAACTTTTTACGGGAGTAGAAAGCCTTGTTTTTCTCCCAAGGAGACGCTGGTGATTTTGAACTGCTGGCCTTGTGGTTCACAACCCTACACGCAACCAACGCACCTCCAGGGCTCTTCTGCCTAGCACGACCTAAGTGCTGTTGCTCAAAAGATGGATTTGTAAATGTGAAGGGCGTTCTCTAAAGTAGGGGCAGCATGGCTCTCCCCGGAAGTGAAGAGCTTGAGTTTGCTATGAAGTTCAACTTTCTGTGGCAGCACAGAGGAGCCCTGGTGGCAGAGCAGGCTATGAGTGGGGCTGCTAACGGGAAGGGCCGCGGTTTGAAACCACCAGCCCCTCAGAGGGAGAAAGATGCTTTCTGCTCCTGTCAAGATTTAGAGCCTCGGAAACGCCAGGGGTTTGTCCCACTGGGTTGCTTTGGGTCGAATCCACTTCATGGCAGCGAGTTTGGGTTTGGGTTTGGGGTTTGGATGGCGGCCCAACGGTTCAAGTGCTTGACTGCTAGCCAGCTCTACCTGTCCTGTAAGGTCGCCTTGAGTCAGAACAGACCTGATAGAACAACAACAAAAATATATTAGGCTCCATATAATCGTGAAAACTACAAAGGTGTTTTACAAAATCCCTTGCCAGCACTGTCCACCACTTGTCAGTTTGTTGTACCGCGGTGGCTTGGGTATTGCTGTGATGCTGGAAGCTATGTCACTGGTATTTCAAAGAGCAGCAGGGTCACCCAAAGTGGACACATTTCAGCAGAGCTTCCAGACTGAGGACAGACAGCAGGGAAAGATTCAGGTCCCCGCTTCGGAGGAAGAAGGAGGCACTGAACACCTCATGCATGGCTTCGTGACTTTGTCAGAGACTGACAGCCTGATGGGTGGAAGCGGAACAGTCGGAGGAGATTGTACCAGAGGATGGGCCTCTCGGGTCAGAGGACATTCAGAGGAACGACTGTGAGGATGGCACAGGACAGGGCAGTGTTCCGTTCTGTTGTGCATGAGGTCGCTGCATAACAACAACAATGAGTGCTTGAGAAAAAAAAATATGTCTACATATATCTATGCTATAATATTTCTAAAGGCTGTATCCAAAACTACATTTAACTACACATTAAATGGCTACATGCTGAAGAACAGCATGTAGCCTAGAGAAGTGGCTCAACTACACTGTTCAAATTACTAAAATCCCCAAATGAATGTCACTGCAGTTAGTGGCCATGGAGTCCGCAGTGACTCGTGGCGTCCTGAAGGGTCCCACTATGAAATGTGGCCTGGGCTGCAACCTCTTCATGCTTGTTGGCATCTTAAAATCAATGGTGACGGCGGTGGTGCCGCTCCATCTCACGCGGGAGGCGCAGACGCTCTCTGGATAGGCCCTTAGGAAAGACCAATTGCTAAAGAAGGATGTCTGCTTTGGGGGAGGAAAGAAGGGGACCACGGAAAATGCAGGTTAATAGGACACCCAAAGGGATGCCAATGACATCAGGGCAGCAGTGTGAACAAACCTCTTTCTCGGTTTCTTTAAATTCAGCTTCTTTCTCCTTGATCCGCTGCACAAACCTCTGTTTCAGCCGCTCCTCCTCCCTCTGGCACTGCTCAGAGAACTCCTGTCTTTTGGCTCCATAGATCTCTTGAAAACTGAAACGGTATCCCATGACTCTCGTGTTAAAACGCTAAAAAGCATGCACAAATACTGAGTACAGAGGAGCTGATACCAAGGCCTCAAACAGACAGTCAATGTTCAGAAAATGATGGCGACATATGTACAAAGATGCTTGATACAATGGATGTATGGAATGTTATATGAGCTATAAGAACCCCCAATAAAATGATGTTTAAAAAAAATTAAAACCCCAAACTCCCTGGCACTGCATCAATTCCAATTCGCAGAGACCCTGTGGGACAGAGCAGAACTGGCCCTGTGGGTTTCTGAGACTGTAAGTCTTCAGGAGTAGAAAGCCTCGTCTTTTGACCTCTGAACGGTTGGTGGTTTCAAACCGCTGGTCAAGTGCTTAGCAGCCCAATACATAACTGATGATTTTGATCTATCAGGGCTCCTGTGTTGTACATTAGGTCATATGAGAACATTCACTAATATTTACTCATATATAGCAACAAAACATTTAAAAAATGTTTCTTGTAAACAGCTGCCATTGAATTGTAACTCTTATTAACTTCACTTAGGGCCTCCGAGGCAGTACATCTTTATGGGAGCAGACAGCCTCATTTTTCTCCTGCAGAGCAGCGGGTGGTAAGCAGTCTAACACTTTCCCAGCACCACCATCTGGGATCCTAACAAAACATATAGAACCTTTCATATCATGAGATGTAGAAAGTAAGGTGCAGTATGATGATGTAATAGAAAGAAAAGCTTTTTGTCATTCAGAAAAAAATGAAAAGAAAAGATGGTGCTATATTTAAAATAATAGCAACTATGCTGTTGTTAGGAGTCCTGGTGGCTTAGTAAGTTACATGTTGGGCTGCCAACCACAAGGTTAGTAGTTCAAAACCACCAACCACTCCAAGAGAGAAAGATGAGGCTTTCTACTCCTGCAAAGATTTCCAGTCTTGAAAACCCATAGGGCCAGTTCTATCCTGTCCTATCGGGTCGCTATGAGTCGGAATTGACTTGCCAGCAGTGAGTTTGTTTGATTGTCTTCTTCTGTGGCTGTTGGAGGCAGTCCATCCCTTTGGCTCATAGCCAACCCATGTGACAAAGTAGAACTGCCACTCAGGGTATTTTGGTGATAATCTTTTTACAAACAGTTTCCTTGGCATATACTTCACATTCATACAATTCATTCAACCATATTTAGGAGACTTGTGCAACTGTCGCCACAGTCAATTTCAGAACACTTACTTCTCATACCGATCACTGTTAACTCCCATTTCCCGTCTTTAGGACGCCCCTAGGCAGTTACCGATCCGGTTACTGTCTCCAGAGACCGACCTATCCTAGATGTCAAATACAGAAAAGCATGCAAAAGACAAACCGGAATCAAGCAACAAACAAACAGAGAACCTAACAACAATGACTAGACAAAACAAAAAAGCCCTCAAAGGGAGAGCAGGAAAAATTACAGAGACAACTTTAAAATGGGTCAAAAGGGAGGTCGAATGATAAGGTTATTGCATTTTAGCCTAACTACATCAGCCACCATTGACGTTACAAGGCTCTCGGATAACAAAGCTATCCACATCCCTGGACCATGTTGGAGGGGATTCATCAGAGGCTTGATCCATGTCGGGACCTGCAAATGGATTTTGGGTTTCCACCGTCAACCTTAGCCTTCTGCAAACCCAGTGTTCACCATTTAAGCTCCGATACCATTCCCTCCTTTATATTTGGATTTTATCTGGCTATAATCTTCAAGGAAGCTGATCACCAGGTCTTTCTACCATGAAGTCGCTGCGTGGGTTCCAAGTGGGACCGTTCCATTAGCAACCTCGGGCTTAACTCTAACACCACCAGGCCTCCTCAACAGGATGTATCCAAACCCAATCCACTGCCACCTCACTGGTAGTCTATGTAGACCAAAACCCAACTCGCTGACACAGAACTGCTGTCCACTTATGGTGACCCCATAGGACAGAGTAGAACTGCCCCTGTGAGTTTTTGAGACTGCAACGATAAATGGGACTAGAAAGCCGAGGAGTGACTGGTAGTTTTGAACTGTGGGCCTTGCAGATCACAGCCCAACAAGTGACCACTACACCACCAGGGCTCCTAGTCTACGTAGAGCACATAGGAAAGTGTGGGGACAGTGGCACTTTAGAGGTAGAATTTCCCCCTTCCCAGTGGGAGACCCGATTTATAGTCTGTCCATGAGGGCTTGTGTGTTGTGATGATACGGGACAGGTTTCAGCGCAGAGCTTACAGACTCAGATGGAAGAAAGCCTGCTGATCTATTTCCCAAAACATCAGCCAGCAAAAACCCTATAGGTCACACTTCCAGAGCCACAGCTGGCCATGGGAAGGACACAGGACCAGGCAATGTTTGGGGCTGTCGGATGTGGGATCACCGCAACACTGAACTGCACCAACCCTAATAGAATACAGAGAGGACTCGGATTCTGAAACACCTCCTGAGTTTGTTTCATATAAATACCAAATAATGTCTCCCCCACCCCACTCAGATATACAATCAGCATACATGGAAATAAGCCCTGGTGGTGTAGTGGATTTTGTGTTTGACCCACTAACCACAGGGTCAGCAGTTCGAAATCAGCAGCTGATCAGAGGGAAATAGAGGAGTCTTTCTACTCCCATAAAATACGACCATCTTGGAACCGCACAGGGGCGGTTCTGCCCTGTCCTAGAGGGCGGCCATGATCAGAACCGACCAGATGGCAGTGAGTCATGTTAAGAGTGTCATCATGTTAAGAGCCCTGGTGATGTTGTCAGGGAAACACATGTGGGGCTGCTAACCACAAGGTCAGGGGTTCAAACTCACAGAGGAGGCTATCTGATAGAGTCATAAACTTATTTGACCTACCCCCTCCCCGCCAAAATTACTCAGTGCCCACCTGGCCATTAAAAACTCTTGTACTATAGCCCATCATCCAGAATAGAGTGTAGGTTTCTGCTTTCTTAGGTCATGTGGATCAATCCACTGATCCCCCCCATTCGGGGACACACGGGGCCCTCTCCTCCAGCATGCATCTGCAGCCCTACTTAGGGTCACTATGAGTGACAATCAACTGGGTGACAGGGGGGTTATCACTGTGTTAAGCGGTTCTAGTGGCACGTTGGGTAAGGACTGAACTGCCCATCAGAAGGTGTGTGGTTTGAACCCACCAGCCCCCCCGCGGCCATGAGGATTTACAGCCTCAGAAACCATCCAGGTCAAGTTCAAGCAGTGGCAGTCAGCTGAAATCCACTTACAGCAATGGATTTGTGTGGTGAAATGAATTCCTATAGGTGGTGGCTTTTCACCCATTTCTCTGGGGAAACCGCTTGAGAGATTTCCTCCCAAGCCCATGCAGTTATCTTTGCCCTACAAGGGTTGCTTTGGTTTCGCTTATTGGTCGCTCGAAAGGCTGGTTACTTTTGGTCGGGTTCATTGACACCTCATGGGGAAGCTGTACACAACCGGGTTTTAATACATTTGGTCTGCTCCTAGGCTGTGATCAGTACGCATCGTTTGAGGACTGGTCGATTGACGATGCAAATTGGGTGACTACAGTCTATTATGCAAATAAACTATCTGTGGCCTACTGAGAGAGGATTGGTCCGTTTGAGCCTGGCAGCCAGGGGGCATACCTTGAACTTGACAAGGAGTTATTTATATACGCAACCAACCTCACAGAGGTTTTTGAGGCACAAAGAAGCCAGAAGAGAAGTAGCAGGAAGTATAAGTAAGAAACGAGAGAGAAGAAGCAAGGAACCTTCCCAACGAGCTCTAACGCAGACCCAAGGCTGTAACACTGAAGCCAGGAGAGGGCCAGCAGGGCTCCAGTAGCCGAGCCAATGGCAGTGGGCCCAAATTCACCACCATCGAGTCAATTCTGACTCAGAGTGACCTATAGGACAGAGAAGAACTGCCCCTGTGAGTTTCCAAGACTTTAACTCTTTAAAAGAGCAGAAAACCCTGTCTTTCTCCCATGGGGCAACAGGTGGTTTCGAACTCCTGACCTGCAGTTCACAGCCCGAATATAACCACTATGCCACCAGGGCTCCTGCAATGGGTCTAGAATTAGTCCAGCAGTAGAGTCAGTGGAGACAGGCCCAAAGGACAAAGAGGACCCTGTCCTCTGGGGGTCAAGGGGAGGCTGCACAGAGGCCTTTGGCGTGGATTACTGGCCCAGCAGAAGAGTAAAAAGCAGTGGGAGGATTGATGGTAAAAAAAAGGTTGGAGAGTAAGGGTCTGACTGGCCTCCATCTCATGGTGGAAGTTGGTGCTGTTCCTGGCCACTGTCCCTCTGAAGTTAGATGGGCCTGGCACTAGGATGACACTGTGTCCTCTGACATTGCTTTGCCCATCATTCGGTTGTTCCTGTGAAGGGTCTGTACTTACATTGGAAGAGGCGTCCCATAAATGGAAAGCCCAGGATGCCGGGGCCATGGGAGGTCTACAGGTCGGCTCTTTGCTAAAGGATTCTCCCGTCAGCTATGGGAGCTTCCAAGTTACCCACCTGAGGGGTTGGTTGTCGGGACCCACGTCCGCGAAGCCGATTTTCGTCAGCCTGTGGCAGCGGTACCGCTGGTAGTGATGGATGTGGGTGTCCTCCTTCAGGTCCTCCATGTTGGAACACAGGAGCATATTGCGCAGCTTCACGAAGTCGCAGTGGCTTTCATTGTCCACTAGTCAGGCAGCAAAGGAAAGCAGCAACGCGAATCGTGAATCCCTGGCCCTCAGAAAGGACTCTTGAATGAATACATTTCACAAAAGCCGACATTCTGAACCTTGGAAAAGCTGCGTGATCCCTGGACCATGTTGGAGGGGATTCATCAGAGG